GAATCGACCTGTTCGCCGCCGCCGTGGTCACTTCGAAACTCGTGTTGCGCAGGCCCAGGGCCCAGACCGAGCTGGCGCCCCTGACGCATCTTGCAGTTTGTGCATCCCCCTCCTGCTCCTCTTCTGGCAAAAAGCTTGTGGCGTGAGGCTCTCGCTGGCGAGCGGCGCAATGCCCAGGGGCATGCCGGGCGTCGCGTCGCGCAGGAGCTCCACCCGAAAAGGGGTTCGCATACCGCGCAGCATGGCATCATCTGTCGCATCCAGGAGTAGAGTCCGCTGCCCGCTGAAGGGCCGTCTTGAAAGTGCCGGGGTTCGGTGGCGGACACCTGGCGAACTCGGCGGGCGAAGCAAGTCCCGACGCGCAAGCAACAGCTGCTTTCTCATCTCACTCCTGCCTCGAGAAGACCTCCCAGCACTGCCGACATAATTCATTGCATTTCCACTCTGGACCAGTATCAGTGGAATCGCCCGCCAAGACATATCGGAGAACGGGCCGACGAGCGAACAGGGCCCAAACCCGAGCGCGATGTTCAAGGGCACGAATGCGCGAACGCAGATTAGCTCCTCCATCTCCTCTCCCACCATGGACCTCCGCTCGAGCGCGTATCTCGGCGTTGTCCTGCTCGGAGGCCTTGACCTGCTGCGCGTTGTGCCGCTGCTGGAGGGGCGCCGCGTCGAATCGGACACCTGGGGAACATCGGCAGCTGCGGGGTGGGTCTCCATCGGGCGCGAGGCAGCCTGCGCGCCCAGTCGCTGCGCCGCCCTGGCAATCGCTCTCGCCGCCAAGAGTCAGGCGCGTGAATCATTCGGCTGTCGAAAGGTCTCTCGCCTTCCGAATGGCCTCGACCACGACGTATTCGCGCCGCTCCAATCTCCTCGACGGACGCATCTTCATCAGCTCATCCTTCTCCGCCTCCAAGAATCGATCAATAATCGTGGTGGGCTCTTCAGGCTTGCAGATGTGCTTCGGAATAGGGCGATCTCCGACTTCAGGCGGGGCGACGTGGTCAGAAGACGACCGCGCGGGCAGCGTGGTCGCTCGCGCGGGATCGGAAGACGGCCCCTGGGCCTCCCCCCGACCTTGGCCATCGCCACCAGCTACGTGAGGGCCCAACCAGGCCGCGAACGCCAGCGTCTGTCAATGGCGGCCACCGCGTCAGCGCGAGCGTCGTAGTGCGCGGCGGCTGAACATGACATCTCAAATCGGGGGTCGAGCGTGGGGGCCCAGTAGGGTGCGTGGGCATGCAGCGGACGGGCTTCCCGCCGAGCAACAGAGGGCTGCGCGAGCAGTTCTTTTTCTTCCTGGGCGAACTCGAAATCTGCGCGCACAATCGCCAGACAGGATCCGGGGGGGGGCCTCGGGCCTGGATATGTGTAGGGAAATCGCGCCGCGCGCGCCCCGAATGTGCTCGAATGTAAACTCACGACCATGGATGCTCCAATGGATCAGCTCCGCGTTCTCATTCGCATAACAAACGCGCCACACGCGGCCAGGCATATATTCGGAGGAGGAGGAGGCGGATAACCCAGGAGGAAGAGATGGGGATGACTGGCCAGCTGTTCGCACGCCGGGCACAACCGTGGCTGCCCCACCCCGGCCGCGACCAGCGCGGTCCGTGCCGCAGAAGCTCGAGTGCGCAAGAGCTCCCGGGAGGCCCTTCTACAGGAAAATCTGGAGCTTGAGGGCGTCCTGATGGGCCTCCTGGAATGCCGTCACCGAGGAGCGCAAAACGAGCGCTTCACGTATCCCAGCTTAGTCTTGGCATGATCACCCTCGTACTGCAACAGAGCTCGGCAGTTCCACGAATTAAATCGCAGCCCCTCAACCGACTTGCGATCCTGCGGGGAGGGGAGAGAGGGGGTAGCAAACAGCAAACGGCTAAAATCACCACTGCGGCTCGGCTTCAGGTTCCACGGCAGATTCCATCGCGCCCGCGAGCTTCATCTTCGAGAAACATACTTGTTGATCGTTGACTGGCACCACTTGACCCCCGTCTTCTGGCGGCCTTCCTGCGGGTCCAGCTTGAGGAGTGGGCCCCAGCCGACCGACAGCCAGCCCCGCTCTCTGTCGAAGAACAAACGATGTTGATCACCAGTCTTCTGTAGCAGAGATTGTCGTACTTCGCGGCCCAGAATATCCACCTTGACCTGCCTCGGGTTCTTGTCGCCGCTGGTGTGCAACTTTGTGGGGCCACCCGTGCCATGCGACTGAACGTCACACTGGCGCCAACCATTTCTCCCCACAGGAGCGAGAGAGCTTTGGCAACGCGTCTTGAAGCCAGGCCCACACCTCCGTTGACCTTGATCGCGAAGTAGCGCGAGATGGGGTCGTGAGACTCGGTGCGCGACCACTCGTCTGTGAAACCCGCCTCGGCCAGCCAAGGAGTGATCGCCTCGACTACCACTGACTTCGCCACCATCTTGCCCGCGTTGACCTTGATGATGGTGCCGTTCACTTCCCGCTCGAAGCCTGAGTGGAGCTTGATGGGTGACGACGGATTCTTGTCCGCGATCGCGGGAGACTCCTGCAACAGCTTGACCTGGTCCGCCAGCTCGAGGAGCTTCAGATCGTGGTCGTCGATCTTGGTCGTGTGCTCGTCCAGCGCCGCTTGCATGCCATCGCTCCTGGGAGAACTCCCTGCGCAGCTCGTCAATCGTGGGGTTGACCACGTCAAGGATGGACCTGTCCAGCTTCTTGGGCAGGGCGTCGAACTCCTCCTGGCACTTGCGCATGCATTCCGCGAAGTGCTTCGTGAAATTCTGCTCGAGCGGAGCAGTAGCTCTGGAGACGGCAGAACCCGCCATGTTGTCGAGCTGAGACTGGATCGTACCCAGCTTCTCGGTGAGGCAGCGCGCGCATTCAGCAGATATCTGCTCCTTGGTGTACTCGTCGAGCTCGTCGGACATGTCGTCGGGAATCACAAAGCCTTCGTCGTCATCGATCGCATCAGGCCGAAGGCCATCAACATCATCAGTTAGAGGAGTCCTTGCCCGTCCTGATGACACCTCTCGTGGACGAACCCGAACGCTTGGCGAGAGACTTCGGGACCAAACCATTGGTCCACGACATGCGGACAGGAGACTGCGATAGAATAGCTGCGAGGTGGAGCCCAACTCTACCGTTGAAGTCTAGAGAAAAGATTGCCAGCCTCAAGAGGCTTGCCTGCCGCGGCCTTGAGCCAAAACGGCTTGAGCAAAAAAAGGGGGAGGAGGAGGAGGAGTAGGAGGAGGAGGAGGAGGAAGAAGAGGAGGAGGAGAAGAAGAAGAAGGAATAGGACGAGGAGGAGGAGGAGAAGGGGGAGGAGGATAACGGGGGGGGGGATGATGATGATGATGATGATGATGATGATGATGATGATGATGATGATGATGCTGATGATGATGATGATGATGATGATGTGATGTTGATGATGATGATGATGATGATGATGATATGATGATGATGATGATGATGATGATGATGATGATGATGATGATGATGATGATGATGATGATGATGATGATGATGATGCTGAGGATGATGATGAGATGATGATGATGATGATTGAGTGAGAGGAGGAGGAGGAGGGAGGAGGAGGTAGGAAAGAGGAGGGGAGGAGGAGGGGGAGGAGGAAGAGGAGGAGGAAGAGGAGGAGGAGGAGGAGATGGAGGAGGAGGAGGAGGAGAAGGAGGAGCAGGAGGAGGAACCCACCTCTCTGTGCGCGGCGGCCAACACTTGCACCCGCCGGCCTCCTTCGAACAGCCTCCGCAGGGGGAACAGACAAGCGCACCGCCCTGCTCCCGCCCAGCTCTCCCGCTGCCCCAGAGTGCGATGGGGCCGCTCGAGGGCGAGGCTTTCTTCCAGAGCGTCCGGGCCAGAGGCGCGAGCGCGCCAGGAGGAGATCGCTTGGAAGCAGCGGGAGGGCAGATGCTCTGCATTAGCAGGGGATGTGTCGATCCCCAGTCCCGACTTCGTAGGGTTTTCGAGTGGACGCAATTATTTTGGCCCAATTTTAGGTTATACGATAGGGGGCGTCCATCTTCGATAGGGGTGCGTCCGAATAGCGCCCTGGGGGTGTAACCCCGAGTTTCCCTGTTTTCCTGAGCGCTTGATCTTTAATGGTCAAGTCGGGGGTGGGGGGTGGGCGCGAGACATCGCCTGCGATGCGCAACAAGCACCGGAGGAGCACCACCTCCATGAACAGGTCCGCGCGGATATCTTGGATCTGCGACGGCTGCCCTGGCGCGCGGAGCGCACCAGGCCCAGCGCATCAGGGAATATGCGCGGACCCTCAAAGGCTGATGCTCTTGCAGTTTTGTGTTTTTTGAAAGCTGGCGAAACCCGGCGCTGCGAGAACCCCGCTGCCAAGCGGCCAATATGGCCCAGCCGTGCTGGGTTCGTGCAGTGATGCTCCCGGCGTTGGCTTCCGAAACCGCGCGGATTGCTTAGCTCTGAACGACCAGCGGCTCTCCGATCTCCAGATCGCTCCCGCTCCAATCTTGGTCGATTCTGGACAACCGGCGGCGTTCAACCCTGAACGCCCGCAGCGGGGTCGACGCCGCGTCGACAGGACAAGAAGCCAGACCCCCAGCGTTGTTATTTTCTATACCGTGGCCGCCCAACAAGCGTGGACTCCTTGCCTGGGACTGGCGCTTCATCCGGGCCGCTCTCTAACTGCCCCGCGGCCATGCGAGGGCTCCTAAGAGGCCGCAGATAGCAAGAAACCGTCCACCACTTTTTTCGTTTCGCGACGCGGGGGGGTCTACGGTCAGGAACGTTTGCTTAGCGTGTCGCGGCGGCGGCCCCTGATAGCGTGTCGCTCCGCTCCGCGGGGCGGGAGGCTCGCAGAGGCTCGGGACGCTGACGCTGACGCTTTGGGGCCGGGGCGAAGATGGCGTGCCGCACCGAGGCGTGGTGGGCCAGGACCGGCGGAGCGGCATGCCGAGCCAGAGCTCCCGGCCGTAGAGGCACTGGCAAGTGCCCTGGGGGCCCTGGCCGCTTGCCCCCATCACTCGCGGAGGCGCCCGCGGTCCTTGCGTGGCCCAGTGGTCGTCGTCCGCCCACCCCGGGACCAGGTGGGCGAAGACGATCTCTGGGGTGTCCTGGGATCCGGGGGGGGGGGGCTGCGAGAAGGCCAAGGAAGGAGGGGGCCTCGCGCTCCTCGTCCGCCGCGCCCACTCCACGTTGTCCTCCTCCTCCTCCTCCTCCTCCTCCTGCTCCTCCTCCTCCTCCTCCTCCTCCTCCTTCCTCTCCTCCTCCTGCTGCTGCTGCTCCTCCTCCTCCTCTTTCTCCTCCTCCTGCTCCTGCTCATGTTTCCTCCAACTCCTCCTCCTCCTCCTCCTCCTCCTCCTTACCCCCCTCCTCCATCCCTTTTCCTTATACACAACTGTTCCGTGTCGCACCCCGAGGCAAGTTTTTCGGGCGGTCCGGGCGTTTCGCCTGAGACTTCCTCACCAGTTATAACCCAGACGCATCAGCATGCGCAGCAGTTTCACATCTGGAGGGCGGGTGGTTTTCAAAATGCGGCTCTCGCCTCAGCGCCGCGTACATTCGTTTTAAACAATTGCAAGAGTTTCGAGGAATGAGAGCGGCTAGTTTGTAAACTGCGGCTCTCGCCTTAGCGTCGCGCACAGTCGTTTTAACAAATTGAGAGCAGTTCCTCTTCAAACTATGGTTCTCGCATTAGCGACGCGCGCATTCGTTTTAAACAGTTGCACAGGCATCGCGGATTCCCAAGATCGACGTACCAGAAATAGCGTTCTGGAAGGACTCACGATTACGAGGGTGCAACAGTTACGGTGATTCGCGGTTGAAGTCCAAGGAATGGCGTTCTGGCACGATTCACGGTCGTCAAGACGCAACAGCCAAGTTGATCCGTGGCGTTGGGATCCAGATAACAATGTTTTGGCATGCTTCATGGTCTTCAATCGGTTGTCTTCCAACGAAGCAGGTCCCTCTGTGGAAATGAGCCGGCGTAGGGGCCTATGCACAGGAAGCTTGGGGAGAGGGCTTATTCCAACATCGTTGGCGACTCTTGGGTTTACAATTGTCCTCCTCCTCCTCCTCCTCCTCCTCCCCCTCCTCATGCTCCTCCTCCTCCTCCTCCTCCTCCTCTCCTCCTTCTCCCCCCCTCCTCCTTTCCTGCTCGGATCGCGATCTAGTCCGAAACGGATCGAGAATCGTGTTGTTAACTTCGCGACGCCGGGAGGCATCGCTGGACTGCGTCGCTGGCGGACTGGGGTTGCACTGAGCGCCGCGCAAGGCGCTGTTGCCGGACACGGCTCCTGGCAACCAGTCCCGACAGACAACCTGGCCGCGCCTGAGCGCTGCGTGGGCGAGCGGGAGGGACTGCACTTTCTCCTTCCCCCCTCCCCCTTTCCCTTCCCCCTTCCTCCCCACCCACCCCATGCCCTCTCCTATTTCCCTGCCCCCCTTCCCTCCCCACCCGTTCCTCCCCACCTACCCACCACCCCCTCCCTTCCCCTTTCCCTTTTCTTTCCTCCCCCATTTCCCTTCCCCCTCCCCGCCCCCCCCGCCCACCCACCCTGTTGGTGCGAAACCTCGGGGCGGAAGCTGGGGCTGCCGATCCACTGCAACCCTCTCGCCCCTCCCTCTCACTTTCCTCCCCCCGCCACTCCCCCTCCCCCCCCTGCCCGTCCCCCCCTTTGGCCTCCACTTCCCCCCCCCGCCCTCCCCACGCCACCCCCTCCCTCCCCTGCTCCGCCCGCGGAGGGGGGGGGGGGGAGGCGGGGGGGAGGGGGGTATCCTGCTGGGGGCTCTGGGGTTGTGTCCGAAACCCAAATTACATGCCAAAGGCCCTGCTGGCGGAGCGTTCTGCACTTCATCCAAGTTCTGGCCCCGCGAGGGGCGCTCCCCCCCCTTTCCTTCCCCCCCCGCCCCTTCGGTTTCTGCCGCCCCCCCCCCTCCCTGGCCCACTGCCTCCTCGGCTCCCCGCTCCTCCCCCTTCCCCCCTCTGCCCCCCCTCCTCTCCTCCCTCCCCTCCGGCCCCGCCCTTCCGCGCCCCCCCCCCTCCCGCGGACGGGGCCGCCGCGCCCTGCAGGCAGTTGGCCAGCCCGGGCGCGCCCGTTCCGCCCCCCTGGCGGACGGGGCCGCCGCGCTCCCCCGGCCAGAGGTACCCCCTGTGGGGCAGCAGCGGCGCCCTCGGCTCCCCAGGGCGCGGGGCCCGAAGGCCCAGGGGGCGGATGCTTCCCTGCGCCGGGGAGTCGCCCGGCCCCGCGGGCAACCCCCGGGGGCCGTCCGGAACAGCAAAGTCCGAAACATAGTCCCCCTCCTCGTCCCCCTCACCCTTCCTCCTCCTCGTCGTCGTCCCCCTCCTCCTCCTCCTCCTCCTCCTCCTCCTCCTCCTCCTCCTCCTCCTCCTCCAACTCCTCCTCATCGGGCCCAAATCCTCGACCCTCGACCGGCCCCACTCTCCTCGACCCTCGGCCCCACGCCTCCGTCTGCGCCGAGAGCCATCGACGAATCAGGTTCGGCGGGCTGAGAAAAGATCGCGGCCCGACGCTCTCGCAAGGGGCCAAGCTTCCTCCTCGCACTTGCACGTATACAATTTGTAAATTCTGGTGGACTGTCCGTGATAGTAGAAGCTCTGTCAGCAAGTTGTCGTGTAAGGCTTCTTCAGATGAATGGCTTTCTGGTGCGTGCCCAGTGCCACCCCCGCCCGAGCCCCACCCAGCGCGCTCGCCCTTGGGACCAAGCTCGGCCACTAGTCACACATTGAGTCGTTTCATGAGCGCTGCTGGGGTCATGTGGACTGCGGGTGCAGGGCTCTGGAAGGGAGGGGACACCTCAGAGGCCTTTCGTGTGAATGCAAGGGACCACCCCCGAAGATGGGGGCCTGGTTTTGTCGCATGCTTTGCAAGGGAGGCCACTCAAATGAAATCATCTCCAGAGCTCAAGGGATCTGTATAAAGTGCTCCTCCTTCGCCTCCTCCTCCTGCTCGGACCTAAACTCCCAACCCTGGATCTCCTGCTGCTGCTGCTGCTGCTGCTGCTGCTGCTGCTGCTTCTCCTCTCCTGCTCCTCCTCCTCTTCCTCCTTCTCCTTCTCCTCCTCCTCCTCCTCCTCCTCCTCCTCCTCCTCCTCCTCCTCCTCCTCCTCCTCCCCTCCTCCACTGAGGGGACCTTTGGGGACGGGAGGTTGTATTGCAGCATCGCTGATTATACTAAGTTTACTCTGGTCCTCCTCCTCCTCCTCCTCCTTCTCCTCCTTCTCCTCCTCATCGTCTTCGTCGGGCCTAGATTCCGAATCCTCGACCCTCCTCCTTCCCATCGGTCCAGGACCCTCCTCCTCCTCCTGCTCCTGCTCCTGCTCCTGCTCCTGCTCCTGCTCCTGCTCCTGCTCCTGCTCCTGCTCCTGCTCCTGCTCCTGCTCCTCCTCCTCTTCCTCCTCCTCCTCCTCCTCCTCCTCCTCCTCCTCCTCCTCCTCCTCCTCCTCCCCCTCTCGGCCCGAGTCCTCGGGCGGCCCCAGGCTCTCGTGGCAGAAGCCGCCGGCCAGCTTGCAAGCGTACGCCGCGGCCTCGTCGACGGAGGCGTGGCCGGCGATCGCCGACTGGCCCATGGCGCGGCCGCCAGAGCGAGGGATGGAGGGAGAAGGAGTTTGAAGGAACGATGATGGTGGCGAGGAGGAGGAGGAGGACGATGATGATGATGATGCTGATGATGATGATGATGATGACGATGATGATGATGACGATGATACTGATACTGATGATGATGATGATGATGATGATGATGATGATGATGATGATGATGATGATGATGATGATGATGATGCAGGTGGTGATGATGATGATGATGATGATGATGATGATGATGATGATGATGATGATGATGATGATGATGATGACGAGGAGGCGGAGGAGGAGGAGGAGGAGGAGGAGGAGGAGGAGGAGGAGGAGGAGGAGGAGGAGGAGGAGGACCTCTGCCTGTCCTCTGCGCGTGGTTTTTGCTCCATGCCCAGCGTGCGCATGCACGCCTCACTGCAGCCCTCTCACCACGACGAGAACGATCCAAGCACGCTGCGCTCGCGGGTAGTCGTCACGGCGCCAGCGCGCGCCGCGCGCGCCGCGGCGAGCTCGTGGAGCGAGTCGGGCCTCGCGCGGGCGGCGGGCGGCGCTCTCAGGAGGCCCCGTTCGAAGTTTGACGAGGGGGCCCTGGGAGGCCAGGAGGCCGCAGCTGATGGCGAAGAGGAGGAGCAGGAGGAGGAGGAGGAGGAGGAGGAGGAGGAGGAGGAGGAGGAGCAGGAGGAGCAGGAGGAGGAGGAGAAGGAGGATGAGCAGGAGGAGGAGGAGGAGGAGGAGGAGGAGGAGCAGGAAGTGGAGGACGAGCAGGAGGAGGAGGAGGAGGAGGAGGAGGAGGAGGAGGGGCAACCCGCCCAAACCCAAGATGCGTCAGGTGTGCTGCAGTGCACCCTCGGGTCCGGAGTCGCCTCCCCACAAGTCCCCGCGAGCCGTCGCCACAAGCGACGCGCCCCCTTCTTGAGAGACCCGCGCCTCGTGGGCCTGCCGTTCTTGCGAAAGGCCCCTGTGTTTGAAAGGAGCTGCGTCGCAGGCTTCTCGCGCGTAGTGCGGAGTGCAACAAGGGAGGATTGGGCACTTCATCGACGTGTCGGACGAGATCCCCGTTCTGAGAGAACCGACCGCCCCACCCATGTAACTATTGCACGCGCTTGCCTTTCTGGTCATGGGGTTCGAAGAAGCCTCAGGCGAATACCCCATTTTGAGCAGGACCCGCTTTCAGCCCACGCAGCTGTTACATCTGTTGAAGGCTCTTGTCTCTCAGTTGAAGAAAGTTCCAAGTGATCATCCCATTTTGAGAAGTTGCTCCCCTGCATTCATGTCAGTATTGCAGGCTTTTGAAACGAATGTGCGCGTCGCAAAGACGAGAACGTCATTTTGAACATGGCCTGTGCTGCATCTCTGTGGCTGCAAGCTTTTGAGACGAATGCACGCGGCGCTAAGGCGAATACCCCATTATGAACACGACCTATTCTACATCTTTGTAACTACATGTTGCCACTGACTGAAACGAATGTGCGCGGCGCGAAGGCGAGAGCTCTATGAAACAGACAGCCTGTGTTCCATCCGTGCAACTGACACGACTGTCAAACGCCAGGTTTCAGGATCGGAAGCGGCGAGTTAGTCTCAGTCGAACGGAGAGCCCAGCTAGCCCTACCACACGCCTGGGGGTGCGAAAGGAAGGAGTTATCAAGGAAAAGGAATTCAGGAGAAGCGTCAAGAGGAGGAGGAGGAGGAGGAGGAGGAGGAGGAGGAGGAGGAGGAGGAGGAGGAGGAGGAGGAGGAGGAGGGGGAGACGGAGGACGAGGAACAGGAGGCGGAGGAGCAAGAGGAGAAGGACGAGGAGGGTCAGAATGAGGACGAGGAGGAGGAGGAGAAGGAGGAGGAGGCTCAGGAGGATCAGGAGGAGGAGGAGGAACCTGGAGGGAGCAGGCAGGAGCGTGGAGACAGAGGAGGAGGAGGCGGGTGCAATCCCGGGGCGCCGGCCGGCCGCGGGCGCGGCCCCCGGGAGGCTCAGAGGGGCACCCGCCCTGAGCACAGAGGTCGCCACCGAGGGCGCGCGCCCCGCGGACGGCGGCTGCCTGCCGCCGGTCGTCGGCCGCCGCGGCCGTGGAGCCCCGGCAGGAGCCGACGGCCAGAGAGACGTGCAGAAGCCTCAGTCCTCGAGCCTCGCTCGCCTCCTCCTCCTCCGCCTCCTCCTCTCCTCCTCGTCCTCCTCGCTCTCCTCCTCCTCCTCTTCCTCCTCCTCCTCTTCCTCCTCCTCCTCCTCCTCCTCCTCCTCCTCCTCCTGTACTTCTCCTGATGAATAACTCCTCCCTGTCGCACCCCGAGGTGTGTCGGCATGGCGGATTTGGCGTTTCGCCTGGGACTTCTTTACAATTTATGGTCCTGACGCCTGAGATTTGCAGGAGCTTTCTCGCCTTAGCGCCGCGCGCCTTCGGTTGAAACGTTTGCAAGAGCTTCGCGGGTGGAGGGTGGGCCGTTTCCCACATGAGGCTCTCGCCTTGGCGCCGTGTGCATTCGTCTGAAAAGTTTGCAAGGGCTTCGCGGATGGAGGCCAGGCCGTTTTGAAGGTGTGACTCTCGCCTTGGCGCCGCGCAAGTTCGCCATGCAAGTTTGCCAGAGCTTCACGGAGGGAGGGCGGTTCCTGCTTAAAATGTGGCTCTCGCCTTAGCGCCGCGTGTATTTGTCTGAAAGTTTGCAAGACTTTCATGGATGGAAGGCATTTCCTTTCCACAATATGGTCCGTGCCTATGCGCCTTGTAAGTACGTTTACGACAGTTTGAAGGGTTCTTATAGTTGACGTCCCAGAAACGGTGTGTTGGCACGATGTAGGACTGTCAGGGAGCAACAGTCACGTTGATTCGCGGTGTTGAAGTCCCAGGAACGGTGTTCTGGCACGATTCAGGATTGCCAGGACGTAACAAGAATCTTGATTCACGGCGTTGCAGTCCCAGGAATTGTGTTTACCTTACAGCGAAGACTGATAGGTTTCTAGTGGTCTCAAAAGAGAGCACCATGACTCCCCAGGGGGGTCTGGGCAGATGCCGGACGAGTGCCGCGGGAATCTGGGGACTCCCGCGGGAATCCGGGGACTCCCTTTTTGCATTGCCAGGAGCCACATTTTGACTGCCCGGAGCCAACAGAACACCATTCCCAGGCCACATTTTGAATGCCCGGAGCCAACTGTAGGCCACTTCGTGTTCTTCGTGTTCCCAGAACACCATTCCCAGGCCACATTTTGAATGCCCGGAGCCAGCTATAGGACACTTCGTGTTCCTCGTGTTACCAGAACACCATTCCCAGGCCACATTTTGAATGCCCGGAGCCAACTGTAGGCCACTTCGTGTTCTTCGTGTTCCCAAAACACAACTCCCAGGCCACATGTTGATTGCCCGGAGCCAACTGTAGGCCACTTCGTGTTCTTCGTGTTCCTAGAACACCAGTCCTGTACCATATGTTGATTGCCCGGAGCCAACTGTGGGCCACTTCGTGATCTTCGTGTTCCCAGAACACCCGTCCTGTGCTATATTTTGAATGCCCGAGCTGAGGCAGGCTGAGGCCGAGGCAGGCTGAGGCCGAGGCAGGCTGAGGCTGAGGCTGAGGCACGCCGAGGCAGGCTGAGGCTGAGGCAGGCTGAGGCTGAGGCAGGCTGAGGCTGAGGCTGAGGCAGGCTGAGGCCGAGGCAGGCTGAGGCGGAGGCTGAGGCAGGCTGAGGCCGAGGCAGGCTGAGACTGAGGCTGAGGCAGGCTGAGGCTGAGGCTGAGGCTGAGGCTCATGAAGGCTGAGGCTGAGAGGCTGACGCTGAGGCTGAGGCAGGCTGAGGCAAGCCGAGGCATGCAGAGGCTGAGGCTGAAGCTGAGGCAGGCTGAGGCTGAGGCTGAGGCTGTGGCTGAGGCTGAGGCAAGCTGCGGCTGAGGCAGGCTGAGGTTGAGGCTGATGCAGGCTGAGGCTGAGGCAGGCTGAGGCTGAGGCTGAGGCAGGCTGAGGCCGAGGCAGGCTGAGGCTGAGGCCGAGGCAGGCTGAGGCTGAGGCTGAGGCTGAGGCTGAGGCTGATGCTGAGGCAGGCTGAGGCTGAGACAGGCTGAGGCTGAGGCTGAGGCAGGCTGAGGCTGAGGCCGAGGCAGGCTCAGGCCGCGACAGGCTGAGGCTGAGGCTGAGGCTGAGGCTGAGGCCGAGGCAGGCCGAAGCTGAGACAAGGTGAGGCTGAATGGGGGGGGGGAAGGGAGGGGGAGTGGGGGGAGGAGGGGAGGCTGAGGCAGGCTGAGGCCGAGGCAGGCTGAGGCCTAGGCAGGCTGAGGCTGACGCTGAGGCAAGCCGAGGCAGGCTGAGGCTGAGGCTAAGGCTGAGGCAGGCTGAGGCTGAGGCTGAGGCAGGCTGAGGCTGAGGCTGACGCAGGCTGAGGCTGAGGCTGAGGCTGATGCTGAGGCAGGCTGAGGCTGAGGCAGGCTGAGGCTGAGGCCGAGGCAGGCCGAGTCGAAAACAAGCTGGTAAGCTTAGGTATACAGTCCGCCTTAGGCGCTTCCATATCCCAGGCTTAGGCTCATAGCGCATGAGCAAGAGAGCGAGACGAAGCATGGGATCTGGAGTAAAGAGTAGGATGGGCATCGTCAATGGAAAAGGATGTTTTCCGATCTCGATGCAAGTAGTGCGCCTCAGTGAGGCACAGTCACATATCTGGCCGGGCCCGGCTTGAGCCAGGCACGGCAGCGGTACATGCTCGATTTATACCTCGCCTTTAACCTTCTCCGTTTAAAGTCGGAGGGGGAGGAGACGAGCAGGTACCGCACTTCTATTATGCGGAAAAACAGTGCTAAGCAGCAGCGGCTGCCTACAAGGAAAGGGCGCGCGAGTAGCCTCGCTACCGGCGAGTTTCCTCGCTATTAAAGCGCACCTGCCCGCGGGTTTCCCCGCTGGCTCGGGAGGCAGGGCCGTCCTGAGACGACCTGCCCGCCCTATACGGCGTATGTTTCTTCAGCTCGTGCTTGAAGGATTGCTGGCCGGCCATTACTTGTAGGAGCAACGCGCGGTCAATGCTACCTTTGGTATGACCATCGGCAGTCATATCCCGCGTGTCACACCATTG